ACTACCACCCGACCGCCCCTCTTGGAACCGTTGCGCCCTATGCGTCCAATAAACTACGACAACTCGCCCAATCTTGATCTCGCCCGGGATCAAGCCCCGATATACTCTATACGGAAGCCCGCCTGAGACCCCTGCACCTCACATTACCACCACTCAACCAAACTAAGAGTTTTTGCCATGGCGAAGAAAAAGAAGCCCGCCGGCAACCCCGCCCGTGGATTTGCAACGACATCCGTTGCAAGTAAGCCAAAGCCCGACAGAATTTCCACAGACGTCCCAGCCAAGGTAGTCGCCCCGGTACCGTCAAAGGAAGCCGCGGCTGCACCAGAGCCCACGGAGGTGTTCCAGACGCCCCAGCAGACCGAAGTGGTCAAGCCAGAAGTCGCGCCCACTCCAGAGGAACTCGAAGCCCAACTAGAGCGTGATGAACTCCAGCTGCTTGTTGAGAAGCATGCGCCCAAGGTCCGCCGCGAATCTAGTCGACATGTCTCAAAATTCCAGACAGACCGTAGGCTCCTCCGCGGCCAGTCACACGCCATGACTGTTCACGACTGGCTTCCCGGCGAAATTCTTGACAGCATTATCCTCCTAGCCCAGGCCGAGTCGAATGACTCAAACAGGAGACAAGGGCAACAGTCCCTTCTTAAAACCCTGACTGAAGAGGACGCCATGTCTAAGCTTTGGACCCTTGATCTTACCCTACGTGAGCTAGGCTTCTCGCAAGACCAAATCCAGCCGGTTCTGAGATGGCTGTGTGCCAACGCCGCCGGTGTCGATGCATCCTCTGGTGTATGGGGGCTTCAAGAAGCGCTGGAATGGCTTGCTTTGGACCAGTGCGAGGATCACTCCTTTTCGTACGAAGAATCGCAGCCCAAGCGTTCAACACTCGAAGATATCGACATCTCTCGGCCTACCACACCGCCGCCCCGCCCATCAGCGAACGGAGCAACCGCAACTGGACCCTCACCTTCCACAGCAGCTCTCAACGCCTCGGTACCGGCGAATTTCGATGATTCTAACATTGACGTTAGTGACCTTGATAGCGACCTCGAACTCGATGAGCTCATTCCAGCGTATCTGAAGATCAAGGGCAAACTATTCGAAATTGATCCTCAACTAGTCGATGCCCCTGCACGGAAGTCGCAGAAAGGTGCAAAATCTAAGAAGTCGGCGCCTGCGCCACCTCAGACTCCAGCCGTTCGGAAGTTGCTTTCTCAGTTGCAACAGCTGACCTCTGATGCCCTGTTTGACGAAGAACAAGCTGAAGCGCAGTGGCCCGCGAAGCGTAACCAGATTGCGCAAAGTCAAGCCGAAAAGAGGCAACGCCAGGACGCACAGCCCAGTGATTCGCCCGTGCAGACCAAAGACACCTCCCCCGACATTCCCGTGTCGGCCAAGGCTGAAGCTACTGCCGCATCGTCGAAACCTCCAAGCGAGCACGAAGGCGAAGAAGATGCTGATCTGCTCGGAGGCATGTTTTCCGCAGTGCCTGACGCAACGCCTGCCCCAGAGAGTACATCCAATGGTTCAAGTGCTGACAATATAACCTTGCGCGACTTTGGCAAGATGAGCGGAATGTCCCCCCGCAAAGTGCTCGAAGAGGCAGTTCGATCAAGGTAGGTCATTCGACTACTTCTTCCGACAATCACTAACAGATCCAGGGATGCTGGTGCACGCTTGACTTATAAAATGATCTCGCCTACTACGTATACTTGCCGGCACTCGCTGACAATCTTCTGGTCTAAGGAACAAGACTTCGAGTACGACACGGAAATTACCGGTGTGGTCTGTACTCCGTACAGGAAGCAGGTCACGCTGGCAGCGAACGACATTGCAGCTGTATCCCTTGAGCAGAGTGAAAGCTTCATCTCGGTCGCGGCCCTCTTCTCAATATCCGCATCTCTGCTTAAGGAGGAAAAGGTATATCTGCGTCTTCCCTCGAACTGGAGAGAGGTCTACAGGGAGTTCTTGGAGCGTCGGAAAACACGCCTAGATGCGGCAGATCGTGATGCCATCAAGCACTATCGCTCAATCATTGAAGATCAGATCGAGAACGAAGAGTCGGACGGTGTTGTGTTTACAAATCGCTTCAAGGCGCGCAATCAGGCCGCGACAAGCTCTAGTACATCTAACTCTGGCTATAGCACACCGGTACGGCACTACGACGGTCTAAGAGAGCAATGGTTCGCCAAAGCATCAACCCCATCATACCAGCGCATGCTCGTTGGTCGAATGAATCTTCCAGTCTTCAACTTCAGAGATGAGATTTTATCCACTGTGGACAAGAACCAGGTCACCATAATCTGCGGTGAGACTGGCTGCGGAAAGAGTACGCAAATTCCCGCCTTCGTCCTCGAGCACGAGCTATCGCAAGGCAAGGCATGCAAAGTCTACTGCACCGAGCCCCGACGTATCTCGGCGATCTCGCTCGCCCAACGTGTGAGCGAAGAACTAGGCGAAGGACCCAAAGATCTGGGATCCATACGTTCACTTGTCGGATACGCAATTCGGCTTGAGTCAAAGACTTCCTCCCAGACTCGCTTGGTGTACGCGACAGTGGGTGTGGTATTACGAATGCTAGAGTCATCTGGAGGCTTACAAGAGGTCACTCATCTGGTCATCGATGAGGTTCACGAAAGATCCATCGACACAGATTTCCTTCTGGTCATACTTCGGTCACTCATGGAACGCCGACCTGAACTTAAGGTCATACTAATGAGTGCCACAGTAGATGCCGCACGCTTCTCAAGGTACCTGAACGACGCACCGATCCTGACAGTACCAGGTCGCACCTTCCCGGTTCAGACTCGATACCTGGAGGATGCGGTCGAGTTGACGCATTACGCTGGAGCATCCGACGCGACCAAAGCTGCCGCCACGAGCGACAACGACGAGGATGACGGGATTACGAGCGATAAATCCGGTATCCCCAACAAGCTTCCAGGTTACAGCCAACTAACACGCGATGTGCTCTCTAATTACGACGAGTATGCCATTGACTACGACCTGATCACACGATTGATCGAGACGGTCGCGTTTGATCCGCAACTGAGTCGCTTTAGCAGCGCTATCTTAGTCTTCCTTCCGGGACTTGCTGAGATTCGTCAGCTCAACGACATACTGGCTAGTCATCCTTCGTTCAAAGCTGACTGGTATGTGTACCCGCTACACTCCACTATCTCGAGTGAGGATCAGCAGGCTGCGTTCCTCGTTCCGCCGCCGGGCGTACGCAAGATCGTGCTTGCTACCAACATTGCCGAAACCGGAGTCACAATCCCGGATATCACCTGTGTTGTTGACACTGGTAAGCACAAGGAGATGAGGTTTGACGAGCGCCGACAACTATCGCGTCTTACTCAATCCTTCATTTCAAGAGCGAATGCAAAGCAACGCCGCGGTCGTGCCGGCCGTGTACAGGAAGGCCTGTGCTTCCACCTCTTCACGAAATACCGCCACGACAGCCTCATGGCAGAACAGCAAACCCCCGAGATGCTCAGACTTTCGCTCCAAGATTTGGTCATGCGCGTAAAGATTTGCAAACTTGGTGATATCGAGGCTACCCTGGCTCAAGCACTCGATCCGCCCTCCTCCAGGAACATTCGTCGCGCTATCGATGCACTTGTAGAGGTCGACGCGTTAACGCCGAATGAAGAACTAACACCTCTTGGTCGTCAGATCGCGAAACTTCCGTTGGACGCGCACTTGGGCAAGCTTGTACTGCTTGCAAGTACGTTTGCATGTGTTGATGTTGCTATAACCATTGCTGCCATCGTCTCTTCGAAGTCTCCATTCTTGACACCATTTCAACAAAAGCAACGCGCTGACATCGCTCGCCTTGCGTTCAAGAAGGGCGATTCCGATCTCCTCACAACTTACAACGCCTACAGGGCTTGGAAAGCAGTATGCACTACTCCGGGACGGTCTGAGATGCAATTCTGCCACAAGAACTTCCTCAGTCCGCAAAACCTGGGCAACATCGAGGACCTCAAAGCACAGCTCTTCTCCTCGTTGGTTGAGGCCGGGTTCATACAACTCACGCCCGACGAGCGTCGCGCGATAGGCCGCTACCGGAACACGACACGCCACCGCGTCTTCGTCGAGGTGCCAGCACAATACGACATCCACACGGACAACGATGTTATCGTCAACTCGGTCATCGCCACAGCATTCTACCCCAAGATCCTGACCCGCGAAGGCAAGGGCTGGCGAAACATCTCCAACAACCAAACCGTCAGTCTAGGACCAACATCCGTCAACAAAGGCTCGCGAACAGCCGACTTCCTATCCTACTACAACATCATGCAATCCAGCAACAAGTTCTACAACGCTCACTCGACCTCAATCGCCTACCCACTTCCCATGGTACTCATGGTCGCTGCCGATATGGACTTCAAGCTCCATGCAGGCGTGATCAGTCTACCCGGCAATGTCATCCGCTTCGCAGTTCGTGAATGGAGGGCTGCTGTCGCGCTGAAGGTGCTGAGACGCCGTATCAAGGAGATATTGGCGAATAGCTGGAAGAACCCTGCGCGGCAGTTGAGCGATCGCGAGAAAGAGTGGCTTGGCTTGTTCTATAGGATGTTTGAGGAGAGGTTTGAGAAGGACGAGAGGATTAGGGAGAGGGCTGGTGGGAAGGCGAAGTGAGGTGTTGGGTGAGGTTGGGATATATTAGATGGATCACTTGTAGATATGCATTGTGTTGGTGTTGTATGTGTTGGTCCTAGGCTTTTGCTTGCATCACTATGACATATAGGTACAACGAATACAAGATCTATAAATACCACTAGCAATATGCGTCGCGCATTCCACAAAGCTATCACAAGGGGAAAACGCGGTCACCATGGTTGACATTGAGATATACGAGAAAACAAGGTACAAAATTCAAACCAGAGTAATGGAGGCTAGACTATACAAGAGGCCTATTTAAAGAGACCAAGATCTTCCACGCCGCTTAAAGCTCTCAATCATCCTTTTCCTCCTCTCTTCTACCCGCCGTCCAATTATAACGTCTCCGAGGAAAACCCAAATGTTCCCCCATGTAACAGGCGCTGCTGCACGCTCCGCTATATCGCGGAAAAGGGCCTGCGAAAGCCACCACATCTGATCCAAACATACTCCAGGTGAACCCTCCCCAAGCACTCTCGTTCGCTCTACTATCGCGACAACGAACCAACGCTCGGGGGCCCAGAGCGCCGCTTTGATGACGTGGAATAGCTGCCACAGGTCGGCGGTTAGGCTGTTCAAACAGCATTCGTGGACTTGGAGTACGACCGTGTCGTGCACTGGGTTGTAGATAGCCATCGACCCACTGGCGTCGAAGGTCGTAAGATCGGAAAGACGGCTTCTCAAACGACATTCTTGGATAGAGTTTACGGCGGCGTCGTGCGCTGGATTGTACACGAACATGGAGCTGCGCGAATGTAGTGTCGCAACAGCGTTACTCGTGAAAACTTGATGCAGAGGCTGTGTGCGGAGGGCCTCGCTGCGGAATAGACGGCTGGTGTGGTACACGGAGGGGAGCTTCGGTAGCCGTATCGTTGTGCGAGGAGTCGCGGATTGCGAGTCGATGTTGATGTTGTTGGTTTTGCAGGATGAGGGTGCGTGAAGGTGCAATGACAATTCATCTTCACGCTGCGCCATGTCTTCCTCGAGAGTGTAGTTTATGATCATGACTTGAAGTTCTGCTGAAAGATCGGGGAAGCGGGTGAAGGTAGCTGGGGCGGTCATTTTGGCTTGTTGTGATCTCTTCCCCTCTGTGGGCTGAGTAATATCCCAAGTATCGTTTAATTCTGATTGGTTTTTGGTTTTTGCGTGGCTTTTGCGTAGCTTTTGCGTGGTATATGCGGTTTTATGTGTGCGTCGAGTGTGGATGTTGAGAACTTTGCAGGGATAAGAGACGAAAATTTCTTTATATACCTTTTTGATGCTTTAAGCTCAGCCCAAAGCACATCCGTGCACTACTGCTTGAAATCATTGATCATTACTATGCCATAGTTGTGGTTGGTCATAGAGTTGAGCTGCTACCACGTTCCCACACCCTTTGACTCACGTAGAAGCCAGTTGTAACCTCAGCAAGTTTTGCGTCTTGTCTGCCAAAAACACGCATTCTTAGTTGAGACTGTCGCATTGAGCAGTGACATGCCGCAATCCAAACATTTTGCGAGTAACCCTCAATCCACTTCATCAGCGGGTACGGCGATGACGCAGAACAACGAGCCACTCATAACTTCCTCAAATCATAACACTCCCGTACACACACAAACAGTATTTTCGAATGAGAAATGTATAACCAACAGGGACTTTGCAAGTAGAACTTGTAAGGTGTCGAGAGGAATACGCGACTTTTCGACATAGATGGTGGATCGTGCACCGAGCACCGCGCCCAAACTTTTACTATCTTTACCAATTTGCTGTCGCACCTTATGTAACCGAGTCACGAGTACTCCCACGTGCTTCCTCCCCGGCTGATGCCGTCATACTGTATAGTCAGCCACGCGGCACAGTTGGACCCCTCATCGTGTAACGCAGCTGTCTCTCATCCGCTTCTAGTAAACGCGCACGTTATCACACCGCGGGATTACCAAGGGCGCGCAAAGACTATTCAAAGAGACTCAGCAGCCATAACAAACTTTGAGTAGTGCTGCGATACTCTTCATCTTATCGCAACATGGTCAAGATCCCCGATAGCTTTACCCAGGCTATTCTGAAAGAGCAAGACAGATATGAAGGCAAGTATATCGACGAGAACATCGTTGCCGGTAAGTGGTTTAGCACTCCAAAGCTATGAGACCGGACGCTCACAGCTCCTTCCAGCATTACCAAAGGGCGCAAGCATAGACCTAGTCCGCACGATAGGTGCAACGCACTGGTCGATACTAACCAAGATCGACACTACCATCGCCAGCAAACCACAGTCCTTCTTCTTGAAAGAGTACCGCGATGCAAATGCGAAACACATGGTCAAAGCCGAGTACGAGTCAACAGCTGCTTTGTACGCCGCGGTACCGAACCACGTGCCTCGACCATATGCATCTGGTTGTTTCGCATCAGACTCGCAGCGCTTCTTCTATCTCCAGTCTTATTGCGATATGGAAGATGCGCCTGTGTACGCGGAGAAGGTCTTGACCGCATCTATGAAGCCGTTTGTCGAGGAATTTATCGGCGTACTGGCTGAAGTGCACAGTAATGAGTCGCCAACAGGGAAGTTCGGGTTTCATATCGACAGTAGGTATTTTTGTTGTGCGCGAATGGTACCTTGGATCTGACGCGAGATTGCAGCCTTCCAGGGAAACGTCGTTAATCACAACCGATGGTGCGATACGTGGGAAGGGTACTTCAGCCGCAACTTACGCTGTCTCATAGATCTGGAGCGTTCGATACATGGTGAAGATCCGGAAATGGATGCTCTATGCGCGGAGATTATGAAAAAGGTAGTTCCTCGGCTCCTTCGTCCGATGGAAAGTGGTGGTAACAAGATCAAACCTGTGCTGTTACACGGCGACATGTGGCATGGCAATGTCAGCGTCGACAAGAAGACGGGAAGTCCGATGTTATATGACGCGGGATGCCTTTTTGGGCATCATGAGTACGAAGCAGCGCCGTGGCGTGCTACGAGGTATGCTTTCAACAAAACGCATCTAGACGCATATCTTGAGATCGTCCCTGCATCGAAGCCGCAGGAGGACTACGACGACAGGAACGAACTCTACGCAGTGTGAGTATTGCGACGTTCTATAGCGCATGTTCACGCTAACGAACAAGTCGGAACAATCTTGTAGTATCATGTTGCTGGAAACAGAACAAGACTACTCGACAGTTGTAAGTCGCGAGCCTCGCTGAGATTTGGCGCGTCGATTGACCATATGTAGGGCGATTGAGGGGATGCGAAGCCTGGTAACCAAGTTTCCAGATGGATACGAGGGGTATGTCGCAGCAAATAAGGCAAAGGGTAAGCGCGATTCTCGGGAGTTGAACGCGAAGTTGTAGAGGAGAGGATATCACCTCACTTTCCCTCAGTTCTGCGCACCATTCCTTGCGTACATCCGTCTTGCTCACGTGCTTGCCGTCCATTGCGCCATGTCATACCTCTGAGTCGAATGAAAATGGTTGCGATGGCACTGAGCATACCAGAGATTGCGGCGAGAGCCGTGAAGAACCAGCCCTTGCCCATCACTTCTAGAAGAGGCTGCATGGCGGCAACAGCTGCTGCTGAAAGAGCGCATCGTGTGATGTTACCTGCTGCAGCGGCAGTGCTTGTGTTCTGCGGAGAAATGTCCACAATGAGGGTGTTGTGCGTCTGGAACGTTGTCAATACTGCTGCCGGTTGTACATTGTAAAAGCAATTACCTGACAGATGCATGTAGCGAGAAATCCATGCACGAACAGAAAGATCAGTGGTACACTTATATGCTGCATAACCGTCAGTGGTGCAATCATATGTAGTGGAGGTGGCATACAATTTCTTCGCGCAAGACCCATCCGTACCCCACAATGACTGCAGTCGATGTCGGGATCAGAAGCCACGACAACCGAGAGCGTGCCTTCTCGATGGGAAATTTGACCAGGTCGTCACCAGCGACCTTGTCGACCGTGATGTTATTCGCCTTGGCTGTGAAGCGGTAGTTGTAGTCCATTAGTTTCCCATTAATGTAACCACCAAGGATGACACCAGTCCCTATGGAAAAGTAGCATAGACCAACCTGGAGCTCATCGAGACTGTAGATTTCCGTGAAGATGACGGGGATGGATGCTTGGATGCAGTAGTAAGCGGCGTAGTAGACGGCACTAATTGAAAGGACTGCAGCGGTGTCTCGGTGAAAACAAACCAGCAGAGCTTGGAAGGGGTTGGGTATGAGGCTTCTCTTCTTCCAAGCCCTCTGTACTGTACATGCTTCTAGCTGTCGCTGCCGGCTTGACTGCAACAAAGGCATGTTCCATTTGGGTGCTGGAATACTGCCGTTTCCTACGACATTGCGCCCAGTCTCCGGGAAGACAAGGCTTAATATGACCAGAAAAGCAGCTCCGATGATGACTAGCAACCAGAACACCCATCTGTATCCAGTTCTTGATGCCATTACGCCACCGACTAGAGGGCCTATACTTGGACCGAGATTTGTCGCAATCATCGCAGGCCCTAACATGCTTCCCCGAGTGGCTGGCGTTGCTACATCGGCAATGACTCCGTATCCGATGGCTACCGTTGCGGAGCAGCCGAAACTCTGGACGCCACGCAGGACCATCAGAGCAGCATAGTTCTGCTGAAGAGCGAGACCCAGGTTTGCGCAGACGTATATAGCGAAAGTGATGAGGTACACAGGTCGCCGTCCGAGATTGTCGGCCAAGTCTCCACAGAAGGCTGGTGCGATTGCTTGAACAATGAGGTATGTCGTGATGGTAAGGTTGATTAGGCTGGCATTGACGCCGACAGCGCGTTGGAGTTCTTCGAGACATGGAAAGTATATGTTGGCTGTGAATGGTGAGAAAAACATGCTGCATCCGATCAACCATGTAATCATGCGCCGCTCGGCCTTGGTGAAGACTGTGTATGGAACAGCTGTTTCTGTATTTGAAATAGCAATCTTTGCCTCGACTTCTGTCATGTTCGGCGCGTCTTCGTCTTTGGCGAGGACATGATCGTTGCTTGAATGATTCGGCTGGGTCTGCATCTTCTAAATCTGTGGAGTAAGGTCGAAACAGTGAAGCGTCGATGTGAGCTAGCGTCAAAAAGGCTGCCTTCGGTTTGTCAGTGTGAAGTCTCAAGACTGGTCTCTTTTCCTGATTTGATAGCGATAGCCCTTGGTGGACAAGCAGGCCTTGCGCGTGACATCGCGTGCTGTGGCACATGCTGTCCAGTCATACAAGACGTATGCGCAGGTATACCCCGCCATAGCGGTGGTTGCGGCGTAGTTAGGACGTGTCTTGACTGTGATGTCGCGCGCAGGCCAGCGTCTGTCGCGAACGCGAGATGGTGGAAGCGATGCGGGCAGTGGCTGGGAGATGTCGCGTTCACGCTAAACGATCTAGTGTCCGGACGTTTGACACGCCATGTCAAGGTCAGCAGTAACCCCTTCGCACAACAAACGATACTTCCTCCCATACTCATGAACATCCTGCCATTCTTATCAAGCAAAAGCGTTTGATATATGCATATCTTCCTCACGTTAGGTATGAGCACTTCAAATCACACAGCAGCGCCTTCTGTTTGAGACCACACTGCACAGGTCCATGTCATAAATATACATACTGTACAGATGCTCTATACCTTCACGTCCTGCACCTTCGGCTTCTCAAACTCAGCCTTGCCATCTTTCACGGTGGCATACCGTATTGTGCCCGATGCGTCTGTGTTGGGTATCGGTGCTTTTGTGCCTTCTCCTATTGACTTGATCTCCTCTTTGATCTTGCGCGTGGCGGCGTCTTCAACGGCGCCTGGTGGGCTGTCCGCAATCTCGTCAACGTTTCTTAAAGTAAGGACGTCGCTGATTCGTGAAGCGCGAGACTGGATGAGCATGGTAGTTGGGCCTTCGAAACGGAGGAATAACTGCGGAGTGTTAGTATTCGCAGAAACAATGTTGTACAGGAATCAATCTTACCCTGTCGCCCCAGACTGTTCTCCGCAACCATGTCTTGAGAGTGTAATATGAGGTTGCCAGAGCCCGCCATGTGCCTGTCTTGCTCATGGTGCGGAAGAACTTGGTATTCTGGACCATTGAGCCAAAGCCAAGGTCTGGCACTTGGAAGCGGAGGTTCGACGACTTGAACCGGAAAGGGATTGGTGGGGTGTTGGAGGCTGTGTACGCTACGACGTTGCTACAATGCTGTCAGTGTAAAGTCCTGAGTATTTCTGTCGTCTCAACATACCTGGGATGCGCAACATAGCTTTCGCCAGCCTTGACCTGGACCTGATATATTTGCCCGCTTCCTGCAAGCGCAAGTAATCCCCTGCCTGTGATATATGTGTTTCCCCAGTGTGCCAGCCCCAATTTTACATTGTACTGCGGCTTCAACTTTAGAGTGTGGCCAGTCCAGGCGAGCAATGCATTTCGTTGGCTAACAATCCAATCATCCCTTCCGTCCATGTTGACCGAGACGATACTCGATATGGGTGCCTTTGTGGAGACGAGAGCTGTGACGGGGCTCGTCGAAGACACTTTCTGGTAGAGGAAGGGGATGCCGACGGGGGCCCTCTGGAGGGGCTCGAGGAAGGAGAGGGTTGAGAGCGTGTTTTCCGACTTTCCGCTGAGGCCGACGAGTGTGCCGCGGCGGGTGTAGAGCGTCTGCGAGGCGGAGAGGGAGACGGAGAGGAGGGAGAACGGGGTGCCAATGACTTCGAATCGGGCGTCTGACAATTTCTTTAGTCTTTTTGGTGGTTTATTTGATTATATCGACTTCTTACCTGGTGTGTGCATGGGCGTCGCGGTGCCCTCAACACTGACTGCCTGCTGCAGCGCGGGCTCATTTGACGAGCTGGTGGCTGATATGTTGATGCATCGCGCAGCCAAGGGCGTCCGCCGTATGGCAGCGGCGGATGTGGGCGAGAAGATCCTCCAGGGCGAGGCAGCCGGTCGTAACATGGCTGTGCCGGGCAATTGGCGCGTGACGGGCGGCGAAGATGTTCTGGTCAAGCTCGGAGCCGCGATGATGCAAGAACGCCTCGCTTCAGCCCTGCCGCCCAAAACGCGCTAGACAACGTGGGATGCATGTCTCCAGGTACTCACAGCAAACACTTTCTTGCCATCTTGTCCTCCTCCGCCATTGAAGCTCTCCACAGCTTCTCTCTCCTGTGACAGCGGTGCAGAGACCTAACATGTGACATCGCCATGTTAATCCAACCACTCGCCCGCGCCGCCAGTCGGCCGGGTCTTCGATCGTCCAGTTTGCGCCCGCATCCTCTCCACCACGGCATTCGCGTATTCACCTGCTCTCCGCTACACAGAAAGGATGCACACGGCCAGCGGCCAAAGCCCGGCTCTAAGCCCGCCATCGAAGCGACCAAACCTGCCGCCGACCCCGCCGCGGCCAAAGTCGCAAAGACGGACCCATTGCTGCAGGAGCAGGTCCTGACCAACAAGGAGCAGCGCAAGGCTGACTGGGCCATTATGAAAGAGATGTCGGCATACCTGTGGCCAAAGGACAACATGGGCACGCGCTTCAGGGTCGGAATTAGTCTGGGCTTGCTGGTAGGCGCAAAGCTGCTGAACGTCCAAGTCCCCTTCTACTTCAAGAGCATTGTAGACGCCATGAACATAGACTTTGCGGCTGTTGGCGGCACAGCGACCACAGTGGCAGGCTCTATGATCATCGCATGTAAGCTAGACCCAACAATGCATCCCATTTCCACCCTGGCTGAGACTCCCTTCAGACGGAATGACTCGTATTGGCGCCACTGTTTCCCAGGAACTGCGCAATGCCGTCTTTGCCAGTGTCGCCCAGAAGGCTATTCGTAAAGTCGCTTGCAGTGTCTATGATCATTTGCTAAGGCTGGACCTGAGTTTCCATCTATCGAGGCAAACTGGAGGACTGACGCGCGCCATTGATCGCGGTACCAAGGGTATCAGCTTCTTATTGACTGCCATGGTCTTCCACATTTTCCCTACGGCATTAGAGATCTCCCTAGTATGCGGTATCCTGACGTACCAATATGGCTGGCAATTCGCTCTCATCACAGGCACAACCATGACCGCCTACTCTGTCTTCACCATCATGACCACCTCATGGCGCACTAAGTTCAGGAAGCAGGCAAATGCCGCAGACAACAAGGCCGCGACGGTCGCCGTCGACTCCATGATCAACTACGAGGCAGTGAAGTACTTCAACAACGAAAAGTACGAAGTCGGCCGCTACGACAAGGCTCTGAAAGACTACGAGAAGGCGTCCATCAAGGTCGCCACCTCCCTCGCCTTCCTCAACTCCGGTCAAAACATCATCTTCTCCTCCGCCCTTACCGCCATGATGTACCTCGCAGCCAACGGCGTAGCCACCGGTCA